TCAGTTCCATTGGTCATCATATGGATGTACCAGCAGGCTCGATCAATCCCAGTAAATCTACAGGTAAATGTTGAACCACATCATAGATCGGGATTGTCATCTTGCTTCTTTTAACTAGATCAAGTTAATGTAAACATATGATTGTCAGCCATTGACAGCTGTGAGGTGTGAGTAACCGTGATTTAGGTCAAGTTCTGCCACATCCAAGTTCGGGGTGGAGAGGCATTTACTTTGATGTTATTATTGTTTACTGGGGGTAATTGCTATCTAACTAATAACTCTTAGACATGTTAAATGTATATTAGAATGTTAATTCATAAAGTTTGCTGTAGAAATATATTCGTTTAGCATTTTAAAACCTTTTTCTATTACCCGTCACCCCTACAATTGAAATGATGGCATGTTCGATTTCCAAGCAATGACCTCTCTCACAAATTTCCGAGAAACGACAGCCAGTCCCCAGTGTTCGATAGGATCGACATTGAAAGAAGCGAGTCAAAAATCTTTTGTAGTTGTTGTTGTTCTAAACATAGACGTGGTGGTGGTGGTGGTGAAGGGAGGGTGGTGGTGAAGGGAGGTGAGGGAAGGAGGAGGCGGGTTCATCGTTTTGTTTTGTTTTGGTGTGTGTGTGTGGTAATGGCATGTGGAGATGATAGCTCACTGAGACGAGCTTATCATACACAGTCGACGACTCTGCCACTTTGTTGCTAGGTTGACGTCATATCGGGGAAGGATCTTGCAACAACATTCCACAAATCATGTCATCGGGTATGGTGATGTGATTGTAAACTTTGAGTTGTAAGGTTTCGTTCCACAAGGCGATCGTGTATTGCAGCCCACTATGACAGTCGTTCGTCTAAGTTACAGTCGGTGAGTGGCGAATTTAAAGGTGCTTAAGGTGTTGCTTGAATTTCTAAAGGTGAATCGACAGGCACAGACATGGACGTGGTGTAGGAATGCAGGAAGCGGTCAGATGTCGATCTTGTTTTGTTTTGGTTTTGTTTTTCTCTGGGGTGTGCATGGCGATGCTGTTTTGTTTTTCTTCATCCTACAGACAACACAACACTACTATTTGTTTAACTTTTTTTAATCCCCCGCTCACATGAGCCAACACAACAAAACAAAAGTCACAGGATTAGGGGCGTCCCTGTGACTTTTGTGAACATGAACGTATGTACACGTATGTGAACGTATGTACACTTTGAAAAAAAAGAACTTTTGCCACTTTGATAGTGAACGTATGTACATTCCTAAAACGCAGTCCTCAATCAGGAATGTTGAAAGTCAGGTGATCGTAGGTTCAGTGAAGAAGTGTCAGGTCAATAAGGGCAGAAAGGTTGGTTCTTTTGAAGTAGGGTACGCGTCTGGCCACTCAGTCGAAAGGCAGGCATCTCATCCACAGGAACGGAGGTAGACACTTTGGTATGAAACCATGCTAATACCGTGGCATCTTTCTTGGCGGTGTCCTTCCAGTCCAACGTATCTAACACTTGATTAAAAGTCCACCCACGCACGCGATAGGTCAGCATGTAGAGACAGTACACACCACACAACGTGCTGTATCCATGTTGTAAGGGGCGTGTATTCCATCGTTGTTGAATCTGACTAATGCGATTCAAAGTCTCTTTAAACAGGGGTAATGAATACAGTCCATAGCTATCAATCATTTCCACGGATCCAGGAGCTGGACGATAGATGCTCACCCAGTGTGTGCCAGGTTGATCGCTTAAATCTGTGTTGATCACGTAGGCTTTGGGGTAAAAAGGGTCATCCTGTTGCCATCCCAGTCTGGCAAAGTCATCTCTGGCCAGGGTGCCCCAGTAGATGGCATGAAGTGGTTCGTCATCAGCCACGAGGGCTTCTAAATCCAAGGTGCTCAACCCGAGTGGTTCATCCATGGTTCCTTGTAGGAGGAGAAAAAGTGTGCCATGACCGTCTGTCGCTGCTCTTTTTATACCATCATCGCATTCCGGAAACGATCTATTTCCAGAACATTTCCGTATTCCTCATAGCAGATGAGGGTGACTGGGTCCTCGAGAGCTTGTCCAAACTGGATTTCCAAACCCAACTTGCCAGTGTGTCGTGGGTAGTTGATGCCTTCATCAACGCCAAGGTCTGGGGTGAGATCCACCACCCACAAGGTGTAACCTTGAGTAAAGGCATTGGGAGTCAGTTCGCAGGTCTCAGGTCGCCATAGCTGCCCCATGTTTCGGAACAGATTCATGTAGACTTGTTTCAAATGGGCGCTGTTGTTGCTTAAGTCGTTTTTCATTTCCGTGCCATGGACTTCCTGGCCGTTGACTTTGAGCTTCATCATGGTGACATGATTGTGTTTGAAGTTGTACGGATTCTTCTCTTTGCTTCCTACATAGGCACTATTGTCCACTAGTCCCAGGACCACGCGTTTGGTAATTGGCCCCCGATAAGGTAATCCTTGTGAAAGTCCCTACCGCCTCTCATCGGGACTTTGTAGCAATTCCAGTTTCATAGGGACACCATCCAGCAGATAATGGTCTTGAAGAAACAGGTCACAGTGTAGACGGCCTGTAAGTTCCACTTCTTTGGTGGGTACGATAAGATCGCGTCGCGTTCTGACACCTGTGTTTCTTGTGTTCACATCTGCATCAGGATTGAAGACGTCCATTTTACCAGCACTATCGGTGAACCATCCAGGACATTGAAGGTGAGATGTTTTGGCTCCTGTACCATAACTCAGAAGGGTTTCCAAGTAGGCTCTGTAAGGGTAAGTACCCATGGAGGGTGTGATCTCCAACTGATTGTGTCCCACTTGCAGCTGCACTTCGCGAAACAGGGAATGCATCACATTGTTGACTGTCGATACGGGGTTATCCGCTAGAACGGTATCCGTGCCATCATCTTTCGTCACGCGTAGACATACTCTCAGGTAGCACTGTTTCAAATCAATGTAAGCGTTCACGGGATTGGAAATGTTAAACTGGAGCGGTCCTGCTACAGAGGGTGGTGCCAAGGGACTATAGCGAATCCACTGACCCTCTTGCACAGAGGTGGTCACAGGGGGTACAGTAATGAGATCCAACTGGGCCTTTGAACATTCGCAGCATCTCGGCGCATCATGATGATGGATGTTTCTCCCTTTTCTCTGCCTTGAAGGACGTCTGGTCAGGTTGAAAGTCTGATGAGGACTGACCTTTAAACCATTTTTCTTTTCCTTTTTTTCTGGTGGGTGGTGGTGGTGGTTGGGACGACTTTACGGCTTTTAGGGGGTCTCGGCTCCTCACATTCCTCCAAGACATCCACCAGGGCTGCTGTGCCACAATGTTTCAGACTCTCTGACCATTTGCGTTTGCCTCCAACCACATCACTCACCAACCCAGGCAGGATCTTTTTACCCATCTTGAGCACTGATGTTCCGGCAGATTTAAGGAAAGGCAACGCCATCTTCAAGATACCTCCCAGGCCACTGCCAGGTTGATGATATCGTCCTTTGTATACTTTGATGCCACTCCCTCGCTGGCCTAACTATCCTCGATTCATCTGGTGTGCCAATGCGTGTTCCAACATGTTGCTTTCTGCGTTAGTAGCGGCGTCTGAAGTGAAGTGTCACGATGGCTTTCCCCATATTAAATGGCACGGGTCGCCCCGTGTCGTCCATGATATAGAGTTTAATACCGTCAAAGGAACCATGACGCAGCCCTAGGTAGTGAATGTGCTGAGGGCTTTTAATGACCACACTGTCTTGCATCATCTTCTTTGACACAGGCACGTAGATCAGCAAGGGAGCCATCGTATTGCCCACAATTTGATCTTCGACCAGGTTGGTGTAAATGTACACAGTATCAAATCCTGACAGACGATGTGCTTTTGTATCACCTGTGATTTCTACATAGCCACTTGTCATTGGAGTAGCCCCACTTGCCATTGGGCCAAGGCAGTCAAGGGAACGGGCTTCTCTGTGTAGGTTTTATAGTCCTCCTCACCGAGGATCGGTAGTTGAACAAATCCGAGCATTCTCGAGAGTGGACTGTGCATGATCACTTCCGTGGAATAGAGTGGTCCACATGTATTTCCCATGAGAGGATGATTGATTGCTACTTCTTGGGGGGCTTGGAATCGCACCTTTCCATCTTCAAGCATGTCAAATCGAAGACTATCTTTGGGATACATGACATCAATGACAAACCGTCTTCCATCACTTTGGACGCTGTCTGAGGGCTGTTCTTTCAAGACATCCGTAATATGTTCCTGAATCAAACGGTTGAGGGTTTTCACCAAATCTTCAGATGAATAGACGCCTTTCTCGATTGGAATCTTCTTGCTTTCGTAACGGACGATACCATACTGTGGCTGTGGTATAGAGCTCCCCGTGCTTTCATACACAAGGGTGTCTTTTTTCAGTTTGAGGTTCAGCGCAAACCAGTCAAAGGGTGGGGCGACGTTGTACCATGTCATCGGTAAATTAAATTTCGCTATCACCTACCTCCCACTGTTGACGGTCCAGATGCAGAGGATAAGGCAACTTGATTTCATACGCATTGACAGTGTTGTTTGGATAGATGTCCATGGAGGCATCACTGGGTAGGGTCATGTAAAAGTCTTGTTTCAAAAAAAAGGTGACAGCCATGATGACGTGAGTTAGGGTAGAAAACTCTGGGTGGATGAGGTATCAAGTTGAAGTCTTCTGGTGGGTGGGGTCGTCCTGGGTATGCCTGGTGAGGCGGCCAAGGTGGGTGGTGGAAGTATGTATCCCAAACAACTGGAGAACAGGGCTGTCCACAATTGTTTCTCTCCGTGATCCAAGGCCAACTGTACCATGCCCATGATGATCACACCATATATCACAATGATCAGAGCAAAAAACACGACTTCACTGCGTGGTAAAGTCATGCCAAAACAACACCAAGGTGAGTGTAGGCGCTGGTGATGACGAGGTGCAGCAGCAAGGGGTGGTTCATCGGTACCCACGGATGCTGAGAGGCTTCTCTGCAGAGGTGATGACGGTGGTGGTGGTGGCGGTTCTGTCATCGCGTGTGTCCACCCTCTGAATGAGTCTGAGAGACAGCATGCTCCTTTATCTGTAAATGATCTGCAGGGATCCACGAAATAAAACTGGCAGGGAAGCCAGTCCATTTCACCAAGACCTCTTCTTGACCCTGTTTCTGTCCTGGACGTCTTTTCAGCACGCGATCCACGGCATACACATCGTCTGTTTTCAAGATGGGCTGTATTTCTTCAGGGTAAAAAGTTCCTTGGAGGACTTCACCATGATCATCTTTGATCCGATACACAGGAGGTGTTCTCCCAGTCACCAACCGATCCACTGTAAACAGTTCAGTGGTCCAATTGGGGAGATAACCTTTCTCAAAGGTGCCTTTGCTTTTGTTCAGACGTACACGGGTGCCCGGCAGTAAAAGAGAGGTGGATCTTGTCTTGGGGGACGACAGTCTTTGTGTTGTTATTTTCTTTTTGCGCTGCAGCTGTTGTTGTTGTTTTTCCTCCATGTAGTCTAACACCCGAATTTCTGACAGGGGATCTCCTGGGAGATAGTGTCTGGTCCCATGCTGTGTAAAGTATCGCCACATTTTATTTTTTGAAACCGTTCCACCACGGCTGCTTTCGTTTCAGGATTTTGACTGGTGTAGAAATGAATGCCATGGCTCGTCATGAGAGCCTGGAAAGGACGGTTGACAAATTCTCTGCCTTTGTCTGTTTGCAATTGAGCAGGGAGTCGGCCTTTGGCTTGTTGCATCAGCAAGGTTTGAAAACCTTCGGTCAAAGCAGAACTGCTCTTGGCCTTCAGGGGTTGCACCCATGCCATCTTTGAAAACACATCGATCACGCACAGCAGATATTTGAATCCTTGTCACTCAAGTCTGCTTGCCACAATTCATCGACCCCTCCCACACCATAGTGGTCTCTCGGAAAGGAGCGTCTGGCTGGTTTGTGCAAGGTGTAGGTACTTTTGGTTTGCAACCAACACTTGATTTGACTTTGCGATGGCTTGGTTTTCTTCTTGCTTTTACTGGTTCTTGCATCTTGAGCGTGGATGCGTGCTGCTTTCCACAAAGGTCGCCAGCCTCCAAAACTTGCAGGATGTTCAGGATGAAAGTAGGTTTTTTCCAACCAGGCCGTCCAAAGGGAAGTAGGAAATCCTTTGTTTTGTTTCCCTGCAGCAGCAGCAGAGGGAAAATGCGCTGTCGTGTCTTGGTCTGTCGCTTCATTTCTCTCAGACTGATGCCATTTCTTACATGAATGGCCTTTTTATAGAGAAGGGGAGAGATTTATTTTTTTTCTTAGGTGGTGCTAAAGGGTATCCATGAACCTCGCCTGTTGATGAATCTGTCCTGTTTGGTATCAGATGGAGGTGGAGTCATCAACCATGGGGTTGGCATCACATCTTTTTCTTCCTCCACTGGTGGATCCAGTTGCCACGAAGGAGGTGGGGGTGGCATCTCATCTTCTTCTTCTTCTTCTTCTTCCGCTTGTGGATCCAGCTGCCGCCTCCTTCTTCTTCTTCTTCTTCTCTCTTTGAGACTTTGCGGGGAGAACGTGGGGAGGGAGAACTGGGTTATGGGTGTTTCTGGTGTGGCATGAGGATGGTGTTGCTGCTGCTGCTGCTTCTGCTGCTTCTGCATCCATAGCCATCGTTGAGGATTTCCAATTATTTCATGAGGGACATGTCTGTTGGCCAAATGGTGACTCAAAATGGTCCAACCTGCAGGCCCCTCTTTGGTTTTCCGGTGACGCACTAAATCGTTGATCAAGTCCACCATGTGTGTGCCAGGGACAGGTTTCCCTTCCACGGTCAGGGTTCCCTCTGGAGTCCAACTCAAGTCGGGATTGTTTTGAATCCTTGTCATCAAATTCATGGCTTTACTGGACATGGCTTTAGGAACACTCATGACCACTTCGTCTATCACTTGTTGAGGAGGGGCAGGTCTACCTGTGGTGTCCATTGTTGATGGTGATGACAGTGGTAGTGTTGGTGTCACTTTGGGTTGTAGTGGTTTGATGGTGTTGTTGTTGCTGTTGTTGTTGTTGTTGTGCTGTTGGCGCTGCAACTCTAGCATGTGTTGCAACAGTTGGTTGTATTCTTGTTCCCGCATGTGAAAAGGCTGCTGTGACCTCAGCATCAACGCGTCCATCTCTTCCAATTTTTGGAGACGTTTCTTTTCCAAGAGAGGGGTATGAAGTGTCTGACGATGACGTTGTTTGGTGGCCTGTAGACTTTGCCATGTGTCTTCAGACACAAACACCATCTTGCGTGCGTACTTCATGGTGGCACACCACACACTGATCCCAACCTTCCTGGTGTCAGACCATTTATTACTTTCCTCCAAACAAAGAGGCTAGGGCAGAACCAATAAGAGGCATGAGTCCTCCTAATAATCCTCCTCCATGTTGAAGAAGTTTACATTTCTTGCTTAGAGGTACTTGTTTTTTCATGAGCGTATTCAAGACTTTATCGTGTCGTTGCAAGTTTTGACGTTGCGTTGTGGTCATGGGAATATTGCCTGCCTACAAGTTCACCACACATTCACAAAGGGCACGGATGAGATTAGTATGAGCATGTTTGAGAATGGCTTTGCGCATCGCTGGAGCGGCAGCACACAAATGACACAGAGCGTGTTTCTGTTTCCTGAGGCACTGAGACATCTTTCTTGCATGGAGGTGTTAGCCTGAATGAGGCACCTGATCTGCAGCTTCTCTCTTTTATCAGGCAGTGGCAGGAGGGAGTTGCAACTGTTGATCTGCCTTCTTGGACTTTCTTTGGGTCCGCATGTGCACCAATCGTCTGAGAGCATCAGCTTGATATGCTTTCATGACATTTTCATGACCCTTTACTTTTGGCTTAGTAGTCATCGTTGTTGTTGTTGTAGGTCGGTGGCGCCTGGTGTTACCCTGTTTGAGGAGTGGTGCTTGAAGATAATGTTGCCATTGCAACAGAATGCGTGTCAAGACCCCTGCAAGTGTTCCACTACCACTGCGTTGCATCAGGTAGTCAAGGCGTCCATCCACAGGCAGACGTGGATTGACAATTTTAGTCAGGGTATCATTATGTCTCTGCAACCACGTCTTATTTTGAACTCTCAATGGGATGTGTCCTGCTCTCAGGTTCTGCACGACAATCGCAAACCACTGCAAAAGACGATTTCTTCCTTTGACGGCAAGGGTTGTCGCATCCCTTGTCGGAAAAATAGACGGTCTCTTGTCTTTTTTCTTCCTTCGTGGGGGCTCCTGCTGCTGCAGACGTTGAAAGCATTGAAGATAGAGTGGGGGTGAGGGTGCTGATGAGGAAGGCCGTTGTTGTTCCTGACGATGCTTGTTCAAGGGTCCCATCGAAGAGTAAGACGGATCTGGCGTGGACTTCTGCTGCTGCTGCTGTTGCAGAGGTTGAAAGCGTTGAAGATCATGTGGTGATGAGGGTGGCTAAGGTGCTGATGATGTTGAAGGACGTGGTGATGGCTGCTGCTGACGATACCATTGAAGAGGGAGACGATCCTGGTGGTGAAGGAGTTTTGTGAAATACAGAGGTCACAAGTCCCTGTAGCGATGAGGGGGAGACCATACTGTCATAGACATCATTCACCATCTCTTTGTCTTTGTTCTTTCCCTTCGTAGGATGAATCTGTTTCCGTCTTTGCCCCATGATGAATGTAGGTCAACTGAAGGAAGGTCTGAGGGTTCACCTCCTTTTATGAAAGTCTCTTCATCTCATAGGATCGGCACATACACGAGGGGTAATTCGGATCTCGAAAACAGGCGGGCGCGTACGCAATGGTCTTGCAACGTGGTTGGCTTCAAGTCCAAGAACAGGTAAGTGTAAGGCTCTCGGGTAGCGTCTTCATAGGCTTCACGCAGAAAAGGAACTTTGCCTGGAAACACCTGGCGAGCCAGACTGTCGATCTGTGATGCATCTCTCGGATGTTTAAAGAGGACCATGTAGTGAGCATTCAGACTGATGGTGCGATGTTGCGGCGATTGAGCAAACAAGTTCTGAGTGAGATACAGCACAGATGTGTTTCGGTGATGACTTTTCTTGGTGAACCATCGCAGCACTTCTTCTTTCGTATTGTCCCCCAGCAAATCATCGATGACCAGCCAATGTGGGGCCACCCCTTTTTCAGGCAAGGCACGATCCGCTTCTTTCATGTTGTGGACAAACTCAAGAGCGACCCCTAAGCGGTCTGCCATCTCTTCCAGTTCATGATGAAGCGGTTGCCATTCGCTGTACACCCACACGATGCGATGGGGTGACGTATCCAACACCTCGGGGCGATGAATCTGCTCCATACATGATTTCACAAAGGAACTTTTTCCTGATCCTGTGGGTCCCGCAATGAACATCGTAAAAGGATGGCGTAGGGTCAAAGGGCTGGTCATGACCTCTTCATCATCATGTGATGCCATCCTATGTTCTGGCTGACTGACACCAGGCAACTGATCCTTTCAAGCATGACCTTTCTCTTTTATCTGTTATTTTTTTCTTCCTATCTCTCCCATGACCCATACAATTTCTTATGAAAAAAAGAAACACAACGGTCGGTCCGATTTAGAAAACCGGGGCTCAGATCAAGTGTCGGAACGAACCCATCAGCACGATGCGTTTTCGACCAATCAGGAAGCAGGGTGTCAGTGTCTCCTATAAAAAGAGCAAAGCCACGCACACCGTCACAGTCGAGCACTGAAGGAGAGATCAACCATGTCGTCTCGATGCAGCTGTCTGACGTGCCAGACCAACAGTCAACAATGCCAGCGGAGGATGAAAGTCTATTCGTGGACAATAGTAGGCTACCCACGGGGTAAATCGGAGACGATACTATCGCAGAGCCAACACTGGTTTAAGAACAAGTCTGAGGCTATGTCAGCATTACAACAAACTATTCAACGCGGAATTGACATACCCGACTGTTGGGGTGGTCCGTATTATTATCTAGTATCGAGATCAAGGAAAGTAATGTAATCAAGGAGACAACCCTTGTCCAGCTTGTTTCCAGTTTGTTTTCCAACGGCCCTTTTCAGGGCCACCCATCTCTCCCGAAAGAACGCTTTCATCCTTTGCTTTGACGACCCTCAAACCCCCACACCGTGAACCCGCCTCCTCCTTCCCTCCCTCCCTCCCTCCCTCCCTCCCTCCCTTCACCACCATTGCCTTTTCTATTTCTATTTTTAGAACAACAAAAGAACAACAACCATGTCGATCTTTTTCACCTTGTACGACCGTTTCTCTGGGTTTTTCCCCCATCCCTCCTCCCCGGAAACGGATACGCCGCCATCTTGGATGCGCACGCCACCAGAAACGGGTGGGACGCCATCTTGGATGCGCACGCAGGACCCATCATGCACTGCGCAGGTCACGTGACCGGAAGTGCCGCCATCTTGCTACTGTAATCCTGAGCGGTACTAGACTGATGTACTGAACTACTGGTATCTATTCTACAGTGGGTCTACATCAAATTTCAAAACACAGTAGGTTTATATCCTAACTAATACATGATAA